CCTTACAGACGCCTTAAAAACGTAGATTGAGTATATGAACATGAGAAGCTTTCTTATTTAAATTATAGGCATTTCGTTTCTGCTTCCATACACGCACAATTTTCATTTGTCTGGAATCATTTTTTTTTAGGATTTCTCAAAAGATTCCATGTAGTGTTTTCTTCGGCCCAAGTCAACCCACAATGTTAAGACGCGCATTGCGCGTGCATACATACTAGTACGTTATAGAACTTGCGTCGCATGTTCAATTTAGTGCTAGAACCTTAAAAATATGGTTTTATGATCATCTAACTTGTCTCAAGTGTGCAGATACAGTCACAATACATGTATGTTGGTGTATCCATGCGTAGGCCCCATTTGTCAGTGAGTTATGGCGTTGGGTGCGTCATAATTTTACACACAAAACCCTCATATTTTTTCTATTTGCGGAAAAAATCAAACACACTGACAAATGTTTTGCATAGAACCCCCTAACTTCTTTTTATTTACAACAAAAATCTAGCAACAGTCGTGCACATATATAAGTGAAAATAAACACCAAAAAAGTGCGCCAGGATTCGAACCGGGATGGATTGTTTTAAGGCGTGACGGACTAGCCAATAGTAGTTTGAGTATATGAACATGAGAAGCTTTCTTATTTAAATTATAGGCATTTCGTTTCTGCTTCCATACACGCACAATTTTCATTTGTCTGGAATCATTTTTTTTTTAGGATTTCTAGTGTTTTCTTCGGCCCAAGTCAACCCACAATGTTAAGACGCGCATTGCGCGTGCATACATACTAGTACGTTATAGAACTTGCGTCGCATGTTCAGTTTAGTGCTAGAACCTTAAAAATATGGTTTTATGATCATCTAACTTGTCTCAAACGTGCAGATACAGTCACAATACATGTATGTTGGTGTATCCATGCGTAGGCCCCATTTGTCAGTGAGTTATGGCGTTGGGTGCGTCATAATTTTACACACAAAACCCTCATATTTTTTCTATTTGTGGAAAAAATCAAACACACTGACAAATGTTTTGCATAGAACCCCCTAACTTCTTTTTATTTACAACAAAAATCTAGCAACAGTCGTGCACATATATAAGTGAAAATAAACACCAAAAAAGTGCGCCAGGATTCGAACCGGGATGGATTGTTTTAAGGCGTGACGGACTAGCCAATAGTAGTTTGACCTCCAGCTATTTTTTCGAGATATGTTTGACCTCCAGTTATTTTTTCAAGAGATGTTTGACCTCCGGATGACAAATATTGACAAGTACTGAAGGACTCATGTGGAGCTTAATTGGTCTGCGGATACTGCGGCCCTTTTTGCACAACTTATTTTTGAAAAATATCTGTAAAATGTAAGTAATATAGTTATGCTCAAATATTTCTGTGTTACAATATTATATATAGATAATGATTAGTAAATAAAAACATTTAAATATAGACATATGCATTATATATAAAATATTTAGTACAACGTAAGTAATATAAATATGTGTATTATATATAAAATATTTAGTAAAACATATGTATTAAACTTACGTGCAAATATTTTTGCGTTAAATATACTATACATACAAACGATGAGTAGTAAACAAAAACATCTAAACATAAACCTGTGTATTATATATAAAATATTTAGTTAATATTGACACCAAAAATGTTTATTAAATAAATATGTTTATTGAATTGTAATTTTGAAAAAAAAATGTAGTACGCACATTTATAAAACACATATTTACACAATACTCAGATTTATAAAATATTTTACCAAATATTTTTCATATAATACACAGATTTATATTTATTTACTAATCATCGTGTATGTATAATATTTTTAACACACAAATATTTGACCATAACACTATTACTTACATTTTTCTAAATATTATATATATAATACACAGGTTTATATTGAAATGTTTTTATTACTAATCATATATGTATAATATTTTTTTTGCGAGAGTATGCATAATTTTTTAACACACAAATATGTGGACATAACTTTATTACTTATGTTTTATGTTTCTTTTAGTCTACTTACATTTTACAAAGATCTAAAAAAATAGTGCCTGCCAAATGAGCCGCAGTATCCGCAGCCATTTAATTTCCACATGGGTTCTTGTTTAATACGTATAGGTAAGTTGTTCAAAGTATACATCCTCCGCTGAATTGTTGAGGTAGCTGGAGCGTCTCATGTTACAGTAGGTGGTAGACGGTAGAGGGTATGAATCTTGACGGACCCTCTTCTTGGCTGTTAATATTTTTTGCATATATATTCAGGACTGCTATCTGGTTTTTCTGTGAATAAAAAAGTGAGGTAGTTTTGTGCAAAAATACATCACACTGGCGCCTTTCTTCACTGACAAGTAGGGCCATACACAGTGTTCCATGTCAAAAAAAAAAGTAGGGCCATACACATGAATGCGCCCGCATATGTGTATTGTGACCGTATCTGCACGCTTGAGTCAAGTTAGATGACCACAAAACCGTACTTTCAAAGTTCTAGCATAAAACTGAACATGAGACGCAAGTTCTATGACTCTCGGTGATATTACCTCTACGTTATACTAGTATAGGCTAAATTTTGACGATAAATCACGAGTGGACATGCAGCCACGCGAGGTTGGTATCCTGCCCGTCCATTCCCATGTGATTCGTGCATGTCGAATACATCAAGCGTGTATAATTAATTCCATGCATCATATACAACTTGTATGGCTTGCGTATTACCTCTCACATCGGCAGCAGACGGCCCACAATGCAGCCTCACACATGATTTTAATCATTCCTGGATTACTTGATTGCCTGCCATGCATTTACAACTTGGCAGCTCGCAGCCATTTAAAGGAGGGTTGGCAGTATGTGGGAAATTTATGACAGTTGGCGTGTGCTCGATACGCCTTATTTATCTGCTTGCTTGCTGATGTTTTGTGTGTGCAGTCAGTCTTTGTAGAAGATTAGCATGGTTAGATATTGCCAGGAGTCTTGATTAATTTGTAATGCATTGAGGAGTTTTGCACAGGCCATTTGTACCTGGGCAACCATAACACAAAGCTGTTTGCACGGTAGGTGAACCAGGTAGCACATACTAGTACACTGAGGAGCTTGATGGAAAACTAATTACTACCTAGTACATGAAGGACAACAGTGAAATGAAGCATTACTAGGTACTGATTGGCCGTCCGATGATCTAAAAATGGGTCACAGCTAAATGAACAAGGCGACGAGGATGGTTGCCCAGGGTTGAATTCAGTGGTTGTGGAGCTTATCGAGGATCAGTGCAAAGAAGAAAACAAAGAGAGGTCCCATTGTTGCCTTCTTTATTTTCTCCATTTTCTTCCCAAACAGATTTGTCGTCTAAATACTGAAACCCTTTACTATGAAATACTCATCTTCCAAACATGTCTGAAGGAGGAAAATATTTGTGATTTAGTTGGATCGCCATGCAAAGGAGAAAACAAAGAGAAGTTGCTTTATTTCAGGGAACCTTGATTTTTGTTGTAAAGGTGTTAGCACAAGTTTAGAACCAACTTCTGCTAGCATAACATGAGAGATGCAATTTTCATCTAGCCTAAAAAAAGGCAGTTTTGGCAAACCTGCTATTGCAATACAGGGTTGTCTGTGAACATACATAGTAAGCAAGAACCTTTTTCTTAGGCAAGGAAGCAAGAACCTAGTAGCAAAAACTAGAGCAACAATCTTCACCATCAGACGAACTGAATCCCATGAACTAGGTTGACCAAGGATCCATAGTTGGGTGAGTAATTTTTACTCCCTCCGTTCCAAAATAGATGACCCAACTTTGTACTAAAGTTAGTACAAAGTTGGGTCATCTATTTTAAAACAGGAAAAGTACTTACTAAGAGCAGACCTCATTTGCTACCACCCAACCCAGGCCATGAATGTTAATTACTCTGACGGGTAGCCAGCAGCCCTCCATCCTGACCATAAATATACATACCAGTCTCTCTCCACCAAATGCAATAATAGCTGGCCAACGTCTACTGTTGCGTATTCACTCACTTATCCCTAAGTAATTCCATAGTCCAGTCAAGCACTATATTACGTGTGAATCGCATGGCA